CAACGCTTCCGCCGTGATCGAGCGTTATCGAGTCGTTTCTGTTTAACCATATCCCGCCATCACTGAAGATCCGTTGACAGAACGCGCGCTCCGTCATATTATAATAGTATTGCAGTGTACCGTCCGGTCCGGTTCGCTACACCGCCGGCATACGACGGGCTATCGACAGTGGCGTAGCCAAGATTTATCGATTTGGAGCGGTTTAGGAGGGTCGATCGTATTTCACAACCTCCTTAACCCTAGAACGTCGCTCCCCGGCCGTTTACAGTTGTTCAATAAACGTACAGACATTTTATGGACACTTTTAACGACCACGACAAAAACCCGATCGGCTATACTGACTCGGGATCCCGCGACAGGTCCGGTCTTTTCATTCATTAGAGTTCGGGTACACTATTGCACTTAGGACGCTAACAACGAATTCAATAGCGATATTTCGTTTAAAAATAGTTGAGTTTACGTTTCGGGTTGACCATATCAATCCGAACAGTCCGTGTATCGTTCGCAACGTCGGAAGAAAAACGCGGCCGAATTCTGTTGGCTTGTCGTGACGACCTAGGCCGTATTAAAGGGGTTTTTTTCTATTTTTTTATAAGTCACCAAGCGACTTTTATCGACGTTATATATGCGCGTACGGACAACGGTATCGCTTTAAACGCCGCCGGTCGAAACGGCGAAATCGCCCGGCTCTCGCGCGCCGCGCTCACATGCGACGACCCGACACTGCCGGTTTTGGATTTAAAATTATTGCACCTACGAGAACAAAATAATAATTAAACACTGTAACTTTGCGGCGGACGTTTCGAACGACTGGATTATAAACAAAAGGCCTATTGTTCCCTAAATTGAATTTAATTGTGCGCCAGTTTACAGCGCGGCGCAAATGCCGCCGCTGTTGCTGCCGGTGTTTTCGCCATGTGCCCCCGCGTGTTAAATCACAAACTAATTATGACGATTAATTTTTAAAATACTCTAACGTAATTTTAACAACACCGACTCGACTTGTAAGAGACCGTGCAACGCGTGTACCGCCACGAATTATGACTGTTGTACGGTTCCGGACGAACGAATAATTAAAAACGAAAAAAAATATAAAACGATTCTCATTGTTTTTACTAACGTTCGGTTTACTTATTGGACGGAGTCCAATTTTTTTTTTTTTTTCCCCATCCCTTGATTACTACATTTGTTAATCGTAAACAGGAAAAACGGATTTTTATAGCATTCTCTAATAACTATTATGGGATGCAGATAAAAATAGCAGAGTGAGCTTAAACGCATTCGTTTCGTGCGCCAGGAAATCCATAAATTATACACAATTGTTTATTGGTTTTTTTTTTTTTTTTTTTTTGTTCCATATTAGAAACATTTCAGAATTTGTGTGTTATTTTTCAAGTTTCGGTGCTATTCCTCGCTAATTATTTTTGTAATATCAGAGCTGTTTCAGTAAAATGCCCGACAAAAGTATTCACATTGACAAAATGTTACTCGATTTTCAGAGTGATTGATATAAATCGAAAAACCTCCAAAGAGTAGAATATTTATAAATAATTCCGAAAAAGCCAAACTATTTTGAATATTATACCACGCGTTTAGAAAACAATATTATCCAATAATAAAGTGTATATAGGTATTTGGTGAAAATTTTTTACTGCGGAGAATTAAAACAAATCGACAAAATAAATTTTGACGAAAACCAGTGGCGTTGGGAAAATAATAATTTTGTAGTTTTTTTTTTTTTTTTTTACCTATTATTGGTATAAGAAAAAAAAAAAAAAAAGACGTCCTCGGATAATGGGGTCGAGTGCAGCCACAGTCATAGGTAATTCCATGTATATCTGTAATCAACGATAAACCATTGTTAACAAAAAACGATTCTGAGAGCAGTTCAGTTGATAGCGATGCTTTGTCAACAATATACATGTTATATTATGGTAAAATAATTATAGAAGCGTTGTATATTTTCTTTAATAATATCTGTTTAATATGGTACCGATTTCCCTGCGTTTTCCTCCGTTTTTTTACACTTGCTGGGAAAACTTTTTGGAGAATCGAAAAATTACCTCTTTAAAGAACCTACTCAGTCAGATTTCCTCTTAGAAAAATTACTATCATTAAAAATCGTTGTAAAATTGCTGGTAGATAAGTTGTCAATGGCAAAAATAAAATCGTTATATTTAACTAATATACTTTTTACATTTTCCCGTTTTCCTCAGTTTTCACGATTTTTCCTATTTTTTGGTAAAACTCCCGGGAAAATCAAAAAATTACCTTTCCAAGTTACCAAAGAGATAAAATTACTTTTCGGAAATATGCTACACCTAGTACATCAGAGCAAGATCTTTGGTAGAAAAGTTTACACAAAATATCGATGAGTATTTTGCGATTAAGTGAGCGATGGATTGCGTTTCTAGGCACACCCGAAATCCATTTGTTTTTCCTTGATTTGGTAAAAGGGAAGAAAATGCAAAACATTTTTTTTTTTTGAAACACGAGTTTTTTTGAATTCGCGAACCCTAGGTTGAAAATAGTTATGAGTAACCATTTAATTACGACAAACATACTTAAAAAAGACAATAATTAGTTATTTAAGATAACATATTACACCTGTATAACATCGAAACTTAAAATTCCTTTGTGAAAAAAAATACTCTTTGTGAACCTTCTGTTAATGTTCAAGCATTTCTATTAAGTCTAACAATTTTACTACAGAGTACCTACCGAATAGAATTTACGTACAAAACTCGCAAAATTAAAACGTCTCAAAACAGTTCAAAAACGGCTTAAATGTTTTGAAAATTTTACCACGTCTAGAAGATTTTGAGTCTCCGTGAATACTTCTAACTGGTTTATATTAAATAACAAAATTGAAAAATAATAAAAGCATTATTTTCGTGATTTTCCCGTTTTTCTTACGTTTTTTCCTGGTTTTTTCCAGGTATTATGAAAACTGTTTGGAAAATCAATAAATAACCTCCCAAAAGTACCATCTGAACAACATCCCCTTTCAGAAATGGTTTCTAGCGTGTACATCAGAGCAAGAATTCTAGTAAAATTTTTGTACACAGTAAATAAAAAAAAAAAATAATAATAATAAACATCATTGTAAAACCAATACATTCTTCGCTACACACGATAAAAAAAACGAAACACAAAATGTTACAAGAAATCGTCTATGAAGATTTTGGTGATTGTCACTTGACAGCCTCTCGAGTGATGTACGGATTTTGTCTTCCGACCGTTTCGTTAACACTCGATTCTATCGACTTTGTCATAGACGCATGTGTTTTTTTTTTCTGTGCTTAAAATAGTAAAAAAACGATTATTACCGTTTTTTTTTTTTTTTAAAGAAGATACTAAAAAACGAACGCCGTAAAATCACGGGCCTATTGATGCGTAATGTACCTACACATATCCTGTACATTATTTTTGTTATTATTATTTTGACCGTTCGAGCCGGTCGTCCGTACAGTTTAAATCCCCGCAGGTCTAAATTCCGACCATTACAATTTGTAGACCCGAGTCGGCGCGCGCCGTTTCATAAATCGCTCGGACTTTCCCCGTAGTAACAAAAACACGCGTTGTCAAAGGAATCGGAGAAGGAAAAAACAACCGTGTGCGGCGAACTGATGGCACGGCGGGAAAAAAAGAATAGACGCGATTTTACACAGGGTGTTCCGCGAACTACGCCGGTCATTGAAGCCGAGTGAAACCGCACCGATTTCGGACACGCGTGTCGGATCGGATGTTTTATAGCGCTTAGGGGACGCGCGGGTTTTTTTTTTTCCTCCGAAAGTGTGTGCGCGGCCGTTACCAGTGCGGCGGTGTAGTGCAGTGCGGTAGATAGCCTAAAATGCGCGTAGGACGGAAAATGCACGGGTCCGCGATTGTGTGTAATATCACGACGTAAATTCTAAATGGTCGGACAAGAGCGTTACGTGTACGAAGCGAAACGGTTTTATCAGTTTTAGATCGAAATCAACAGACGCGCATTAAATTCCCGTCCGTATCCGGTACCTTCCCAGCCTGCCGCCTCCGACAGCGGCGGCCGCGCCCGTTACCATTATCCTGGGAAAGCTTTATTTTTCATTTTTGTTTTTATTTATTTTTTCACGTACGCTTCCGCTAATGATTGGCGCACGGCGGGTTCGGGGAGCAAAGCTTCCGCCTATTACGGGGTTCGCTCCATTATGATATTACGTGTTGCCGAATCGAGGCGCACGTACACGAAACGGTATTTTACGGCCGTGCGCGACCGGCGGTAACTTTCGACAATTAATTCGAATCAACTTCGCCGGGGCGTGTAATTTTAATCTTATTTAATCCGACGCGAGTGCGTTCCGTCGTAATAATGCACTCGGCGGCCATCATTTGTTCGACATAATATTGTAACACAACGCGTCGAACGGGCCCGATGATGAATCGAACGATATTATAATACCGTGCAACGGCGTACACGCGTCCGACGATAAATGATGCCGGTACGCGATTCGCGTCCGTTTGACAAATTCGACTTGACGAACTTCAAACAACCGGACGAAAAATTATTATTTCATATTGCGGAACGAATAATATTATTCGCGACTCGTTTTTTTTGGCTCGTCGAAGTTCTCCTCTCCCATTTTTTTTTTTTTTTTTTTTAATCGCTCTTTCGACGGCGGCATATTATTTTTTACCGCGTCACATCGGCTAAATAATACAATACGCAATTTTATTAACTGTCCGTCCGTCATGGCGCAGCAGCTGTACCGCGGAGATTTCGCAAAACTCGTCAGAAATCTCGGAGAAGTATGTGGTTTTGTTTTTTTTTTTTTTTTTCAATTTCGAAATCGATGTATATTCGCGATTTAGGTGAAAATGTATTAATTTTCGTGTTCATTTTACCCGGAAAAATATTAATTTAGTAATCGAGTTTTATTAATATTTTGTGAAATAAAAAGAATAAAAATTCGACTCTTCAGTCTCGAACATCGATCGATGGCGTCACGTCCGGGTAAATTGAAAAACAATATATGATTGCCACGTCTTGAAATTCAGATGTCTACCCATTATTCTGATAGCGTCTTCAATTTCCACGGCATAACGAGTGAAAAGTCTGATAGTCGCATTTGAAAGATATAGCGAGTAGATACTGAGTATTCGCATATAGGTACTACAATTTCGGTTCGTTTTGCGCGGGCTCGTTTCTGGATATATTAAAAAGCACATCATTTCCTTGAAAAATGACTTCGTGTCCATCTCGGTTTCGGAGTGTTTTTATGTGTCACACTACGAATCGAGCGCTTTATTATTTCTCAGAAAACACTTTTTCGGTTAGTAAAAACAATCGGATTTTTTTCACTCGAAAAACAACGGTAGTACCAACCCGTCGCATATCCGGCGGTAGGCTGAGGACGTTGTTCGAAATCCTCGAAACTCGACAGTTCACTTCCCCCCCAACACCTGTTTCTGGCCACGGCCCTTTGTTTTTGTTTTCCTCGGAAGGCGCTCGTTGTTATCAGTTTGACCGTATAACAGCGGCACGCCCGTCAGCGGATCGTTTCCTCTTTATTATTATTATTATTATTTATTTTTTTCAAATATAGCTCGCATTCCTCAAACGTCCCTTGTTGTTATTATTTAATGCCGTTTGCGAATTTATTCGGAACATATTATTGAAAATCCTATTGTGTGGTATTCCGCGAACACACTCGGAAGGTGTCTTACCCCGCGAGTCCGGGAAAAATCGAACACGGGGCACGATAGAAAGAGCGTCGCGCGATAATTGGGGGGGGGGGGTGCGGCCGGAGGTGAAAATTCACGGGGACGTAGAACCCTTTGTTTCCCCGCCGACAATCAAACACCGGCGTATCGTCGCCGTGTTTCCGCAAATCGTTAAAGTTTTTAATAACTCTATGATATTGAATTCGGCGCTTACAGTGATAACGGGAAACGAACACGAACTGCGGGTCGATATTATTTCTCCCGAGCTCGTCAACAAATATTTCTGCCGACTCGAGTTCTCCAGCAGGGGGAAGGAGTTGTCGCCCCATACTCCCCCCCCACCCTTGTTCTTTAACAACAATATGACGCCGCCGCCGTAACTCGCCGAAAAGGTTACCGGGACCATTGCCGTAACAATATTATTGTAAAGTGCGTGTATAAACGTTACAACAAACAGAAAAAAAAAAAAAAAAAACGAAAAAATGCCGTACTTCCGTTATTGTGCACACGGGCACTACGGTGTGCACTACGAGTGCATACTGAAAGCCACCGCCAAACGCGAAACGTAACAATACGCGAGCGTACAAGCAGTAAAATTGACAATATTTTCCGGTGGGGGGCGGGGGGTAGGGGAATTCGATAACGCCCGCGAAACATACACGGACCGACGAAAAAAATGAATACTTAAGAGTACGAACGAGAACGTTATTGTATTGTAATATTTTCGTACGGTTCGGTACATGTTTTTTTTCCGGTTTTTCACATTTGTCGAGAAATGACTTCCTTTAAGTACCCTTTTAGATTTTCTTTTAGAAAAGGTGCTGCACTTAAAAATCGGAGTAAGTTCTCCGGTAGAAAAATTGGAATTACATAAGAAAAAATAAATCCACGTTTTTGTAAAACCGTGAGCTGCATCGCTCCACTCAGAATCTAAAATTTAATCTTTTCCGAAATGGTTGGTTTTATAGCCTTAGTTTTAAAACTTCTCGATTATTTTTATACCCGTGTATCCGGCGAAATCTCGGCCGAACGCCGGAAAAATCGGTTAAGAACGTGTAGCAATTGGAAACCGGATATCGAGACCGCGACATTCAGTTTCGCCTTCCGTTTCAAACCGACCGGTTCGCGGATGTTTCGCGGACACGCGTCGGCGAGGCCACGGCTTATGGCGCGGTCCGTCGTTCTGTAGCGAAAATTTCGGCGGTTTCAACGGTACCGATTACGAGAGTCAAAAGTGACGAATTTCGATTGGCGGCGGTGCCGTTCCGCGGTGTCGTGCGCGACGTCGCCGTGCGGTACGGAGTACCGCGAGAACGCGGCGCCGCGCGTTACGGCGAGTCGTCGGCCACGGGTCGCGAGGACGAACCGCGCAGTGCGCACGCGCGTGTTTACGATATTATAGCATCATCGTAATACGAGGGCTAATCAAAATGTATCGAGACTGATAATATTACTCGGAAATCGAGCGTTGAAGAGCAAAACGATTTTTTAAACCTAGCTTCTATGACTTATACTGAGCACATCTCTATTCGTATAAAATCTCTATAAACTTCTTCGTTTCGATTTGACGATATTTTTCTAAAAATTTGTTATTCACGTTTGGCGATTTCGTAACGGATCCAAAAGAAGCGGAACTCGCTGCCACTCGAGGGCGCATTTTCAGTTTTTCAATTGACATTTAACGGCAAAAACCATGAAATGTTGCATCCCACTGAAACTGGAAAAAAATGCAGACAAATTTTCTAAAATCTCCGAATCTGTAACGTTAACGTTCACGTTCTCGGAAAAACGCATCGATCAAAAGAATTTTTAATAATTATAATTGAAAAAAAAAAAAACACTCACGGGATACGACAAAATATTGAAATATCGTTGTAATCCGTAGCGAGTATTGTAAAACGAAAAAAGAAAAAAAAAACAAAACGAAATTCCCGGTACGTTCTTTGCAAAACCCGAAACAAAGACGATAAGATATTTTAATTGGAACGTTTTAAATCGGAATCGGGGAAAGAAAAAAAAAAATGTATGTACAATTTCGAATCACTCGAAATCACAAAATATATCGTTGTACGCACGAAGCTCACGCGAAAACCAGATTATTTTATAATTTTTTTTTTTTTCCCCCGGCGAAACGTTTCAAATGCTATGTATAATTTTCACGGAACAAAATATAATAATTTAATTGTCTATTCGCGCGCATAATAATATATTTATTTTTTTATTTTTTTTTTTTTTTTCGTAGTATCCAACGGCCGGGCGGTAATCGGATTTCGTAATTTATTATAAATTCAACGGTAGGTATTATAATAATCGTACAATATTTTATTTATTTTGTTATCGTCGACTTCTCGTCCGAGGGATTTTTTTTGTTTTTTACGTATTTATAATAATTATAATAAACCGCGCGGGGGCGCAGATTATCGTCATGACTGTTTCCGCGCCGATAACGGTTGCGATATTATTAAATATAAAAAAAAAAAAAACACAACCGAAAAAAAAAAAAGAAAAAAATCGATTGATATTATAATACGTTTACCGATTGATTTCGCGTACCGATTAAGCGCACTGTGATATTAATTTAACAGTTCACTTTCGAAACGACTGCACGGCGAACAAAATAAAATAATAACAATAACAATAACCGTACATTTATATTTATATACGCGTTGCAATGCTCGCCCGGAGACTCGCGCGGACGAGTTTTATTCGACATTTTCGTTGTGTAAAGGTTACGGTGTGCGCGAGTGTCTACATTATATAGTGCGGCGGAGAAAAAAAAAACGGGCGGATAAAGTGTAGGGTTTTGTCGGTCAATAGCCTCGATTAAGTGGCTTACGTTAAGTCTTTTGACCGAACGTTTTGCGGGTCCGGATACCGCACGAGGACCGAGGCATCGGACACATACACACACACACACACACACACACACACACACACACACACACACACAAGGAGCGAGCGAGAGAGAAATCGAAGAAATTACTAAAACATTTCCAATTTTCGGTCGGTCGAGTTTTTCGAGAATCGTTTTTCGGGTAACGAATGTATATATATTTATATCGGGCGAATGGATATCGCGAACGAAGGTCGTGCACATAAAACTAAAGGCTTTTAGACTGGCGCGCGTCGGGTCTGGCGGAATAGAGAGGAAAAAAAAAAGAAAGAGGACCCAAAATTATAGTCTTCACGCGCAGTATACAGTCTTGGTCTCGCGATCCGAGACCGCGAGTTCCCGGGGGAGGACTTTTCCGGGACCATTTCGTTTTCGAAAACGTATACACCGTAATAGTGCGCGTCGCGTTTTTCGTCGCGTCGGGAAATTTGAGAATTCTCCGTGAAAAACGTCTAGACGCCTTTTTCATCAGTCGTCGCGGTTACGGACAGTATAATAAGTGTAATACGCGCAAACATTAAAGTCGCGGCTCTTTTACACCCGCTGCGCAATGGTCGGGTGGTGTTCCGGATCTCGTCTCGGGGAAACGAATATATATATATATATTGCAATAAATCTATTGATATGAAATAAACCGAGTAACCGTCATAGTTAAAAAACCCGAGTTCTCCGGCGGTGTGCTTCAAGCCGCGACGCCAACGCCGAGGGGATTGTGCAGCGTTTAGACGGAGATGATTTAGTAGAGTTTAGTAGAGACGTGCCGGTCCATCCCGCGTAATATCGAAACGTGCCATCATCCGCTATTGATAAATTAACCAAATGGCTATCACGCGTGATATGACAGTCCTTTCCATTTTTTTTTTTTTTTTTTTTTTGAAAAGATATGCAACAAACGACGAATGCGTTTAGACGCGCATTCTATCACTCGTAATTGTCGTTTGCTCAAAACTGTGGACTTTCAATATCGTTTCCTCTGTCGTTTTAATTCTATTTACACGCAACGTTTTGAATACACAAAATGGAACGGCACGTTCCAAAACTCTGCTAAATCATCTCCGTCTAAACCCTGTTATTATTGTTATAAACTCGCGTCCAGTACGGTGTATTTCACCGTGTCCGGTTGCGTGCGTATGCGAGGGAAGTTAACAGCCCTCTACCCGTAAATTGTATTAATTTAATCTCAAACTGCTAGTCACACGGGAAAGCTTTATTTGTGTATTAACTTCAAATTGACTGCTTTGATCCGGTTTATGAATACTCTGCGTCGGGTCAGATATGACGAAATCGTCTACTATTCATAAGTATTATACAATTTACTACGCTCCCAACGAATCTCCCATTGAAAATCACTGGCCAAGCAACCCGGTCGTGTCAAAATATGTTTGTATTTCTGCTCGTCCAAAACAATTTAATCCGCATAAAACCGCATAGAAACTGAAAAAAAAATACCCGAAAACGTCAAATACCTATAATCATACCTCAAAAATCTGAAAATTGATTGCCCTCGTCTAGTAAAGGTCGATGCATGGGTCCTATACAAAATGTCCGGTCTCTACGTTTATTTTCACCGGATTATAACAAAAACACAAAATCGAAAACAGCGAAACCGTTAATACCGTAAAATGTCTCGTTTTTTCCCCAATTGTTTACAAGAAAACGGTACGGAAAATAATAAAACGAAATTAACTCCCTCAGCGCACCGATCAGATAAAACAGTTTGCAAAAATGCTCTGTCGCAGTTTTTCGATCGGAGGCAGGCTATCTGGCAGCCGTGGTGGTTGTATGTTGTTCGCAGGCAGAAACGTAAAATAAAAAAAAAAAAAGCACACGTCATAGCGAAAACAATAAATTTCTCGCTGCCGCGCTCGGAATCTTAATTAATCTTAAATTTCGGATTTTAATTAATGCCGCGCAATTCAGTCTGTGAGTGTGTGTCAAGAGGCAAAGTCGGCCGGAAAACCGTGGCGGATATATTATTTGCATTCGGCTTGTGTACATTCGACTATTATAATTGTTTATAGTCGTGCATACGTATGTATTGTACACGCGTGTCGCCAAAGTCCCGGTCTCCGGAAAATTGTGTACTTCACTTCACTGCGTTCTTAAAACAATATTACCGACTTTCCGTGCATACGAAACGAATACGCACGGTGGTGCACACGTCGCCAATGTCGTTGTATTTGTTTTTTCCGACTGTCCGTTCGGAATCCCGTAAGTCTGAGTTTCTACGCGGTGAACATAATGTACCTGCGCATACGTTATTATATACATATACGCGAGAGATCCCGAAGACGTCGTTATAGAAACGTGTCTCCGTCGCGTTTCCGTGCTTTTCGAGAGGGAATTACTTTTTTCGAAATTATAATTCTCGAGTAGGCCGGTTCCTAAACCTTTAATTTAAGTTCGAAAACTGCACATAGAAAAGTGACTATTGACACGTTTTCCCTCTAGAGTCTCAACGCGCGGAAATACGCGCTTTACACTTAAAGTGAGATGTCTTGGAATTTTTTTTTTTTTTTTTTTTAACTTTTCATTTCGAATTTCATATTGTGTACTTAAGACTCGCGATGGCTGCGGCGTCAAATTGTAAATCGTTCGTATACAATTCTTATTGCCTCTAACGTCTGCCCATATTATCAACAATTGCCATTACCTCGTATCGTTTTCTAGTTGGCCCTCCTAATCGGTAGCGTAATTGAGAATGTTTCATGGGGGGGGGATGTCAAAATAATTATCCATAACGAAAATTTAGGCGGCTTAACCCCCGGTATCTAGATTTTTATGTATTATCGCATATCAATATATTTATTCTGTATTAAATATAAAAATTAACAAAAAAATTTTAATAAATTTGCTATCAATTTTTTAACAACATACATTTTACAAAATTATGTCCAGATTTCTAGGCTTCTTAACAAGTTCATCAATGACCTGTTCGTTCAAAAATTAAACATCATAACGAATCTCAAACATTTCCGAATCATTTATTATTCTCTACGAGTTTGTAGATAAAAGGCAATATATAATTACAGCTTATGAAAGGGAGATCTTTCCCCCGTATCTCCCCCGTAATTACGCCTCTGCTCTTATGGTATTGAGTTTTTACAAATTTATCAACATGCGTGTTTTGTTGTTAGGTGCCTCGGATCTACTACGTTCGATCATATAGGGTTAACTGCGGAGTGAAACATTTTAAAACGAAACGAGTCGGGAAATAAGAAAACTAAATGTCCGAACAGTTAACGGGACATTTTTCAAATTCATTAAAGTAATTACAGCTCGTGCACAACGTTTCCGGATAAGATGAGCAGCAAATTGTGCGTGCGGCGTCTATATTATTTAGTGACGAGTTAAATGGTGAAAAGTGTCAATCTCGTCGTTTTCGTCCGTGTCGGCAGACGCACGGCCGAACAAAAACATTGGTTGCGTTGAAAATTGAAATTTATTTTTTATTTATTATGTTGTCGTCCGCCCGTACAGGTCGCTTCTTACGAAACACGCTGGTTTAATTTCGGTTATTTGCGAAATAAATTGTTCTTTAAAAAAATATTAAAGGTTTTCCTTGTTCACCGGAGGCCCGTATACCGATCGTTGTTCGGGTTTTCCGATACCCGATACCGAGTCATTACACCGTCGTTTCGGACGCCACGGCGTTTTCCGGGATCGCGGCGTTTAGCGCCGGAAGGATTAAACGGCGTTTAAGTTTTCTCACAGTGTAATATTATATTTTCTTCTACTCGTGAGCACGGCGTATCTATAGATTATGTTCTCTATGGAGTTTTCGCGCGCGACCATAACCAGCCATCGCTCGTTTGGAAACGGAAAATACGGAGTTCTCGAGTTACCCGCTCTTTTCTGCGGTTTTCAACTGCCGAACTTTAAGAGCGACGGCCGTATAGGGCCGCGACCGGCCGGGAACCCCGAGGTAAAGACTCCGGCGAAGATCCGGGAAAAATCTGCGATGAAATTTTTCATTGTTTTTTTTTTTTTCTGAATTTTCGTCGGCGAATTTCGGTACGACAACGCGATGTCGTTTTAGTAACGTCGGGTTTTTTATATTATTATTTTTTTCCTTTTTCGCCGGGAACGCCCGAACGACGTTCTAAGAGTCCGTGATATTAATAATATCGTTAAATTAAAATCAGTTTTCGACCGGATAGGATATCGATAACACATATCGTATTATACGGTTATATTTTAACTCGAACAACGCAGATACCAGATTACAATCATAATATTGCGTTTTATATTATTCGGGCACACGCGTGTTTAGTATTTATTTATTCCGCGCCGCGCGCGCGCGCGCGCAAGCAAAAGCGTCTGTTTTTGAAAAGTCACGATAAACGGCCCCCGGAGAACCGTTGTCGTTGTGATAAATCGTATAATAATATTATTATTATACTCGTGTATGATAATATACGGCGCGCTAATCACGCGGGCCCCGTAATATATACGCCGCGGATTATTGTATTTTATTGTTTACCCATAGAATGCGATATTATATTATACCTGTACGGGGTACCGCATTATTACGACGATAATAATAATAATAATTTATTGTCGTTATCGTTATAAATAATGCGGCGCTCATTGCCGCGCGCAGCGGTACGCATAACAATCGTAAATACATACAGGACGGTCCTGACGCGCGCGCCCGGCAGCGAGGAAACCGCACCGTACGCGCGCTGGTGTACGTTCGGAACGTCGTCGAAACGACGCCGCGTCCGGCCGGAAAAGCCATTCCGAACTCGGGTCGGCCGGGCGGTTTTCACCCGAGAAAAACGCAATCGCGCGTGGGATCCGGGGGCGCGCAATCGGGAATGATCGGTGGGTGGCGCGCTTAGGATGTATGCGCCCCGGGCCGAAACGATTCACGCCGCACAAACCCTGAGGCCTTTTCTCCCTCGTCCTAAATCTTATTGAAAACCGTGCCCCGTGCTCGGTTCGAAACAACGTTTTAAAATGCCACGTCCCGCGGTTTAACAATGTCGAAAGAGCCGAAACCGGGGAACCAGAATTTGTTTCGAACGTAAACTAAAGCGATTGCATTTTGAACACGCATGAGGACAATCCGGTTAAATTTCGTTATAAACTTCGCCGCGTTGTGGCGATAGGAGGACGACGTTCTTTTGCTTTGTATTCAGAAATAACGGGAAAATGTACGCGATAACCGATTCCGTTATTATCGGTTTTATTATGTTCTCGCGAACCTTTCTAAAGTAATAGTAGAGACCTACGGTTTTTACTAAATATTATTGATATTGATATTTTCTAAACGCGGTAAAATTTTCAAATTTTCATAGCGATTTTTGATTTATTTATAGCCACGTAAAATATTCGTTTGTTTTTTTTTTTTGTGTGTTTTTCATTTGTTCGGGTTAATGTGGATAAAGTCGTTTTATCTCAGCTAAAATAGTCGGGAATTAAACGCGTACTTTTATCAGTGTTTGAATAAATAATGGAAATCGTATTTTATTTTTTTTTTTTTTGTATTTTTTAATCGAATTTGACGTCTCTCTCAGAATCGTTTATTCGTTAGCTACGATTGCGTACAAATATAAATTAAATTACACTCGTATAAATGGTCGAAAATTAACACCGAAAATCATAAAAAATGTATAACCCCGGGCTTCACTGAAAAGCGTAAATTGTTTTATTTTTGTTTTTTTCGCACTCGTCATAAATTTAATCGCTGAAAACACCGCGTCGAGACAATATGATTATTATTATGTCGAGCGTACGTTCCCGTATACGTGTATATGCATAACGTGTACAACTAAACCGTTTGTTCGGATTTACGTGTCCCCGCGTTTTCGCCGCGGTGCCGTTGAGACGGGAATACCGAATGCTCTCCTTCGCGTGTACAGTGCCGCCGCCGGCTGCTAAAGAAACGCGACGACGATTAAAAGTTTACCGGGTCGTAAAAACGTGCGGGCGGCGTACGCGTTTCGGACGGGCCCTGCACGTGACGTTTAAACGGTTTGGCGGTGTTGTTATTATTATTATTATTATTATTCGTTATTATTGTTATTATTATTCGTTACATACCGCGCCCGTATTCCGTTATCGTAGTAGACTTGTTATAATGTATTACGCGTAAACATTATTATCGTGAGATTGCCGGCGCGATACACCGGAACCGCGGTTTTCCGGTCGGATACGAAAAACGGCCCGCGTAACGGCATTGCGCATAGCAAGCTGTTAAAAAACGCCGTGCCGCGCGGCACTCTTACCTGGGAAGAAGACGAAGGTCTTTCTCTTGACGTATGGGGTGTCGGGAATTCTGAGTTCGCAGTCCAAAGTGGATTGGGGGGTGATGTCGTCGGTGTCCACCAAGACGGCGATGACGACTTCGTAGGAGGTGTCCTTCAAGCGGTTAATGTCCACGTGGGAGTTGACCAACGGGTAGCTTCTGCAAAACGAACAACGTACGACGTTAATAGATATTCGATTCATCGAACGGACAATAATAATGATCTCGCGCGAAACGAATATCGTTTTGATTTCAGTAACCCCGAGCGGTTATCGTACAAGACAACGCCGCCTTTAGTTTCATACCGAAATAGAAACGCAATTGAATCGGCGTGATATTTAGGATTTCGCCTAGGAGGGAGTGATGTTGATTTCGGAGATTTCGACACGTTGTAAAACGTGTAGGTTTAAAACAAAATATTAATATTCAACCGGTGTTACTTTGTCGGCGATTTAGAATTCGATCTGCTCTGAAGTTATCATTGAGTTCAAATGATCAAACTATAGTCCGGGGATTTTCAACGGGAGGGAATGTAACAAATATTAACCATACATTTGTTTTGGGTTTTACGCCTTTATCATCGACGTGTCTACGGGGGTAGCCTATGATGCCTGGGGCTGCCTCTGTAATCGTCTTGTCGACACCGGTCAATCGGATTTTATGTATTTTAGTGGCTTATTACAACTTTTATTAAAATAAAAAAAAAAAAAAAAAAAACTCAGATTAATTTCCTATAGTAAACAATTGTTTATTTTATTATAATAACGAAATATCATTCTTTATTCTCTATAGCCTATCGTTTTCATTATTTTATGTACCGAAACATCGTATATTTTGTTAATTATTTATGTGGCGGTGTGATCCGGGCCTGTATATGAATAATGTTTCCGTAGATAAATTTTAAGATGCTTAAAATGCTGTACATCATTAATTTTAAATATATAATACAGATTTTTTTAAATTATATGAATATTTAACTGTGGGGAATTAACATTCCCCCCTCCTCTAGGGGATTTTTTCGATTCATTATGTGGCGCTGGTCATTAGCTAGGCCGCCGCTGCGGATGAAGTCTAGTCACGCCTATGGTCTTTATCGAATCCGAATGATGACTCGACAGTGATAGTTTAAAAGCCGAGTCCATAAACAACTAACTACCGATCAAAAAATCAAGCTCTATTAATCGAGACTGGACGCAAATGTGCACGTTTCAAGATTAAATTACAGGACTATAAATACTCGTT